CCCTTGAAATAAAAGCTAAACTGTACAGTATTGATGCACTCTTCAGAATCAGAATCAGAATCAGCTTTATTGGCATGTGTGTCGGACACATGGAGAATTTGACTCTGGTACATCAGCTCTCAATGTACATCTTGAAGCTGATGTTACTCTGTAAGCCATTTTAAAGGATATCTTTGTACATTTTTGAATAAAAATCTAATGCTTCAGGGTCCTCCATGTAAAACTGGCTCCCTCTTAGTTTCTTGTGTGATACCAGTAGAAACACAAGAAAGCCTGAAACAGTCTTACTGTCGGTGGCAGCTTGAAATCACTGAACACTCCTCATTCCTTCCTGCTGCCATCTGCATTTCTCAAAGAAAATTACATTTCTTCATGCAGAAAATTCAAAATCATCATTTAGGTTCTATAGCAGTAGTGATTTGTTTACAGTATCGCAAAGATTGTCCAGTGATCTTTGGACAAATTCTGCTGTTGTTGCTGTTATCTTCCCACTAAGAAAATTCAATATGAGATGTCCAGGATCAGGTTGAATCTCCCACAACAACCAGATATTTGTAGAAAGATTTAATTTCTACTTCAATTTTTAAAAAGTCAGCAGTAAATCAGTGGTGAAAGAAATACTAGGATGCTTCACCTTTAGGTCCCCTGAAATTCACTGTACATTATATATAGCATTTAATATTACTGTGGCACAACTGAAAGTTCCCATTTGACATATGACATTTTTTTGTTTTGTTAAAAAAAAACGAATGTCCAAATGAGGAGGTCTTTCAGCAGGTTTCACAGATCCAGATCAGCAGCAGGTGCTCAGCCCAAGATCTCTAAAATAACAGGAAAAACTCCCCAGGAACCTCAGCACAGCTTAAAGGATAAATCTGGTCATTTTTGATATTTACAGTATTTTCAACACTCGCCATACAGAGAATAAAACCAACAGTGATTATTGTCTCTCAGTCAGTCAGTCATGGATCAGTGTATTTGTCTGTGCCATAAACTTCCATTTTCTTTCCCCAAAAACAAATAAAAATGCACCACTGGACTTTGGAACCTCCATATTTTATTTGTTAGTAACATTGTTTTTGAATTTGGATTTGGAAGGTGAATAAGCCAAATGTTTGCCCTCTAAGTCGTCATTTTATTCTGGATTGAACCTGCCAAGTTGTTATGGTAGTCAGACTTGAGGTTGGACTCACCCGAGGTGTAATAAAAAAAAAAAAAAAAAAAAAAAAAACAGGTTTAATGGAACAAAAACGCAAAGTAACATAACAGGGGCCATGTACATACATAATCAAAGCAGGGCAGAGATGGTGGAGGAGACCCGGAAACAGATAAACGGAAAACAGGAATCAGGAGAGCAGGAGGGTGAGGACGGACAAGTGAAAAAGGGTAGCAAAACAAAAACTGACAATCAACAGCACAGGGACTGTCAGCGTTGAAGTATCGGTACGTTTTGCGAAAACGCGTAAGTAACGTGATAGGTCAAGCCAAAACGCACAGTAACTGTCAGCGTAGCATTCTACACACGCCTAATATGCGGTATTACATAAAATTGTCACATACTGTGAGTAAGTAATGTACCGGCAACAGCAAAGCGTCTGCCAAAGGTATAAATAAGGAGGAAGTCAATCAGCGGGATGCACCCCAGCTGTGTGCACCGACAAATGAGTCGCTAATTACTGAGTGCAACACAGCTGAGGTGCAGAATCCCGCAGGTCGAGAAAACAGAGGAGAGAAAGGCGAGGAGAGGCAGCGGCCCTGACAAGTAGGCAGGTGCAGAATCCCCCGGGTCGAGAAAACAGAGGAGAGAAAGGCGGAGGAGAGGCAGGTCGCGCCGAGCAGACCTGACACAAGTACAGTAACCTTTATAACACTGTTACTTTGTGGCCTTACTATGTGTCTTCATTTTGCTTGCAATGTGCTGCCCCTAAGGCATTTGTCTTTAATAAATAAGTTCATCATTTATATTGCATTAAAAAAAAGTTAATAATCGTCTATAGGTTAGTTTGCACGGACATTTCATGGTTTTTCTACAGTTTTAGTTAAATAAGGAATAAATATATTATCGCTAAACACTACTTCCGGTTTACATCAATTAATATTTATAGATGTTCACATTATCTTTTGTTTTAAGATACTATGCTCGTAAATTCTGTGTGTTTTGTTTTTTGCATGTGTGATTGCAGTATGTATTAAGAGTACACATTTGTATTGCAGTTTTCACCATCTTTGAAGTGATTAAAGCTACAAACTACACTCCAGGTTCTTCATTGATGGTTTAGCTGAGTGTTACGCCATCGTCGCAGACACTACATGCACTGTATCTATTAACTGTTAATATTCAATATACTAAAACAAAAACGTCATCTTAGCCGCCAGGACCACATGTATTTTATTTAATATGCACTCCCACCGCCTACAAAAAGTGAAAAATACCTATATTGTATTTTGTGGTGATACAATTCACACAAACAGAGTCAAACTGCTTGGCTCACACTAGCTTATTATATAGCCCACACACAGTGGGAATTACACATTTTACATATGTACAAGTTAGATAATCCAAATGAGCCATCCTTTTTCAAATGTGGTATCATGTACCCATCACAGTCAGTCACCAGTGGAAATGAGAAGCTCACTGACAAGCATGTCCATTATCAACACTGTTATCTAGAGATCTAGATTTTACAAAAACCTGAGGAAATTTTATCTAAACAAAATGTTAGTAAAACAAACAAACAAAAACCATGAAAAAGGCACATTTTCTACAACATATACATGTCAGTAATCACTGAACATTTTCTGGACATTTTCTGTATAAACCACACTTTCTGGCAAACCACTAATGTGGGCCTAATGCTGCACATAGGGTTGCCCAGTCACTGTAGGGTCTTCTTGAGGAACTCAACCAGGAGGTGATGAGGGAAACCAAAATCCATCTCCCTGCAAGAGAGAAAGAAAGAAAGTCATGTGACTGTAGAAATGTAACACAAACAGAGGCATGTGACACAAGGGAAAACCTAAAGCAAGAACACTGACGTTTCGAGGAAGTATTTCAGGGTTAGAGATGTCGAATAAATTGGCTCCCTGTTTGTCCAGCAGTTTGGTTAGCTCAACCTCAAGAACTGGAACACACATCACAGAAAACCATGTTACATATACATATGATTTTATTTCTGTACTTCATAGTAATGCAGCTCATAGCCATTACAGATTCTATGGTAATTTCCTGAAGTTACATTTTGCCCCTAAACACTTATGATTCTTGAATCAGGCACAAAGAAACAGTTTGTTTTAAGGCAATTCAGCCAATCTAGCTAATATGTAACAAAGTAAATAATGTAAAATAAAATGTAGTTGCCTATTGAAAATGCAAATCCTAGAAATTGTCATCTATATAATTGTGTGACAAGAGTTTAATGTTGTTAAACTGCTATGCTGAAAGTACTTTTATGCAATGTGGTATGATGCTAGGGTCAATGGGGTAGTGTTAAACAAAGTTGCATTGTACCATCTATGTATGTTTCTCTGTCTCTTACCAGACAGCACGTTGGGAATGCCTATCTTTTCCACAGCTTCTCTTATAAACTCCAGTTGTGATTCATCTAGTTAGAAATAGAGGGAGAGGTAACTGAATAAGCAAACATTAAAGTATAATCTTTGTTTTCAGGATCAGCATAATTTTACCAAGGGACAAAATCTATTTTATAGGTGGGGGAAAAAATTTATTGTTGTGTGTTCTTGCAAAACCAATAATCAGTACAATCACTACAATATGAGTCACATTTGACTACAGATACATACTGTAGCTTTTCATTACACCTGGTTATTTGTGTCATTTTTATGCAAAAATGAAGTTTTCTAATCTGATAACATTTTTGAAGGTGCAGCTTTTATTTTGAAGGATTTGGGTCAGAAGTCTTACTGATGTTAATACCAGCGGAACACAGAGTGAGTAAAACCTTTGCAACAAACATGCAAATTAACCCTTAAGGAGAAAGCTGAGTCTTTTTTCATCTCCTATCCAAAATACTGTCCTCCATGTTTCAAGGTTCTGCAGGTGCAGTGCAGCTGAAATTCAAACTGCAATTATCCTTTTTTTTCTGTCAAATTCCTCAACAACATATTTTCTCCAGCAACAAAACACTCAGTGAATTCAAATGAAAACACAGTCTTACTGGCTGATTTTGTAAAGGCAGCTCAGCTTTTAATATAACAGTCCTAGAGAGGAAGGAGGAACACCATCAGACACCAAGCACAAATAATTGATTAACAATGACTGATAAGTTGATGAACACAGAAAACTGAACATCAAATGATGCTTCACAGTGCAGTGTTTTAAAGTGATCAGGAACCACAGAAAAGAATAGTGTGTTTATGAGCTGATGACGGGGGTTTGTTAGCACTGACTGTGTGTAAGGATCATACCATTTAGTACCCAAACTAGCTAAAATTACATTTGAAAGCAAGTTTTTAAGCTATTAAATATGCTGCAGCTCAATATCTAATTAACTAACTGACCTGTAATTGTCCCATGTAGACATTTGTTTGGTCAGTCTTGTTTGTTAACTTAAAGACCCAAATGTGTTTTTTTCTTATTTGTTTTAGCCCATAAATACCAGCCCTCTGAAGGGGGGTTAGGGCCTCTAGGCATTAGTGAGCACTATAGTAACATTAGGGCTGCTAATGAACATCACCCTATTGCAGGTGTGTCATACTATCAGTAGTCTTAGGTTTATTGATATTAAGAAGGGAATTTGGAGAGAAAACAACTTCAGTGTGAAAAATTTTGGATCTATTATCTGAATACTATATCTCCTCATGATTTAAATGAAGATTCTGATATTAAACAATTTTTATGAATATTAATATTGCTTCTATTTCGTATTGGCTTCACCCTCTAAGAGCTATTGCTATTGGGTTCACCCCTCGCGCTTGCGCAGTCCTGAAGAGATTCTTTCGCGCCCTGTGCCCTGCACTGGGCTGTCCCCAAAACAGGTCCGCTGCGATGACATAAATACCACTGTGACCTGTGATCGGCTCCCTCTTTTTTCTTCAGTAGTCTAAGAAGAAACATCATGGGTAAGTACATATCCTTTTATCATGGCTGAGAGCCATTCCTCACTGCCAGACTCCAGTGCCACGCTGCCGTCACCGTGTGCCCAGACTGCGATCCGGGTTTCATAACATGTTCACACGCCAAACTAGTGCTCTCCCCCAGGCAGCTTGCCCCCTGTAGTGCTCACTTGCCCGCAGTGGAGAAGCACTGGGTGGTGGCGTTCGCAGCTATCAGGGCGGGGCCCTGACAATGTCAGCGGCTAAGCTAGGCTAGACTAGGCTAACCACAGTGACGGTCCCTTTGGCGTGTGCCCTCCTGGACTTCTCGGTGTGAGTGGGCCTGAGTACTGCGCGTTGGTCTCTGGCTTTCGGGGCTCTGCTGCGCTACTGACGGCAATCATCAAAGGTGGCAGAACGTGGGGGCATTAATCTCCCCCGCCGACTGCCCCCGCTCTCCCCATCAGACATGATGTGTGGCTTCTGCAGACAGTGCTGCGGAGCGGGACTGGGCCACACGCTTCTCCTGCCGTTTTCCGCCGCAGGGACCAAGCAGCTCCTTATCTTGCTTCCCAGGCGATGCCTCTTGGCAGGAGGTGGGCCACCTGTGTGCTCACTGAACCAGGTCAGTGCTCGCCTCTCGGCCCGCGTTCATTAACGCGCATCCAAGACAGGTGCAGCAACTAACAGTGTGACGACAAAAGCCTGATTGGGGTGCTCATTTTATGAGTTCTCCCCACAACGGAGGGCGCAGCTGCGCTGCCAATGCCCCCTGTGGACCCTGCCTCTGACACACAACAGTTTGTTCAGGGCCACCACCAGACTCATAAGAGCAGTTTTTCTGACAATTGTTCTCAGAAAAGAACGCGAGAATCTCTGTGTGTTCACTGTCTCTCTTGCAAACACACACATACTGCTCAGTTCTCCCCACACTTGTGCCTTGGGGTGCACTTGACTTAGCCTTCTCCACAGCCACGAGGGCTTCTTCTCGTGCTACTTCCTGGTTCCCAAAAAAATCAGGCGAAATGAGTTATTCAGTTATTCAGCCCCCTTAAGTTAATACTTTGTAGCGCCACCTTTTGCTGCGATTACAGCTGTAAGTCGCTTGGGGTATGTCTCTATCAGTTTTGCACATCGAGAGACTGAAATTTTTGCCCATTCCTCCTTGCAAAACAGCTCGAGCTCAGTGAGGTTGGATGGAGAGCGTTTGTGAACAGCAGTTTTCAGTTCTTTCCACAGATTCTCGAGTGGATTCAGGTCTGGACTTTGACTTGGCCATTCTAACACCTGGATATGTTTAGTTTTGAACCATTCCATTGTAGATTTTGCTTTATGTTTTGGATCAGTGTCTTGGTGGAAGACAAATCTCCGTCCCAGTCTCAGGTCTTTTGCAGACTCCATCAGGTTTCCATCCAGAATGGTCCTGTATTTGGCTCCATCCATCTTCCCATCAAGTTTAACCATCTTCCCTGTCCCTGCTAAAGAAAAGCAGGCCCAAACCATGATGCTGCCACCACCATGGTTGACAGTGGGGATGGTGTGTTCAGGGTGATGAGCTGTGTTGCCTTTACGCCAAACATAACGTTTTGCATTGTTGCCAAAAAGTTCGATTTTGGTTTCATCTGACCAGAGCACCTTCTTCCACATGTTTGGTGTGTCTCCCAGGTGGCTCTTGGCAAACTTTAAACTACACTTTTTATGGATATCTTTAAGAAATGGCTTTCTTCTTGCCACTCTTCCATAAAGGCCAGATTTGTGCAGTATACAACTGATTGTTGTCCTATGGACAGAGTCTCCCACCTCAGCTGTAGATCTCTGCAGTTCATCCAGAGTGATCATGGGCCTCTTGGCTGCATCTCTGATCAGTCTTCTCCTTGTATGAGCTGAAAGTTTAGAGGGACGGCCAGGTCTTGGTAGATTTGCAGTGGTCTGATACTCCTTCCATTTCAATATTATCGCTTGCACAGTGCTCCTTGGGATGTTTAAAGCTTGGGAAATCTTTTTGTATCCAAATCCGGCTTTAAACTTCTCCACAACAGTATCTCGGACCTGCCTGGTGTGTTCCTTGTTCTTCATGATGCTCTCTGCGCTTTAAACGGACCTCTGAGACTATCACAGTGCAGGTGCATTTATACGGAGACTTGATTACACACAGGTGGATTCTATTTATCATCATTAGTCATTTAGGTCAACATTGGATCATTCAGAGATCCTCACTGAACTTCTGGAGAGAGTTTGCTGCACTGAAAGTAAAGGGGCTGAATAATTTTGCACGCCCAATTATTCAGTTTTTTATTTGTTAAAAAAGTTTGAAATATCCAATAAATTTCGTTCCACTTCATGATTGTGTCCCACTTGTTGTTGATTCTTCACAAAAAATTACAGTTTTATATCTTTATGTTTGAAGCCTGAAATGTGGCAAAAGGTCACAAAGTTCAAGGGGGCCGAATACTTTCGCAAGGCACTGTATGCAAAACCAGTGGCTGCCCAGCAGATGTCACCATAAGAACAGTATCTATTTTCAGCAAGAATTCTTCATATTGGCTGAGTGCTTAAACCCCTTTCATCATTAGGTACAGCACACTGTCACATGCATCAAACATATGACCAGCATACACTGGTCTGCCTGTCTGCCACTAGCAAAGTAATACTATATATAACTGTAGATTTTTGCTTCTTCAAACAAGTTTTTAAAATTTAAATATTTTCCCAATGATTGTTTCACATTTTAAAAGAATTTTCCATTTGTTAAATGAGATTATTAGTTAAGTTTAATTTAAAAGCTGTATCTAACTTTACAACTCGACATAGTCCCTCCAGCATGTCCTGGGTCTTCCCCGGGGCCCCCTCCCGGTGGGACATGACCAGAACACCTCCCTAGGAAGGCGCCCAGGAGGCATCCGAAAGAGATGCCTGAGCCACCTCAGCTGGCCCCTCTCGATGTGGAGGAGCAGCGGTTCTACTCTGAGCTCCTCCCGGGTGACTGAGCTCCTCACTCTATCTTTAAGGGTGCACCCAGCCACCCTGCGGAGGAAGCTCATTTTGGCCACCTGTATCCGGGATCTTTCGGTCATGACCCAAAGCTCATGACCATAGGTGAGAGTCGGAATGTAGATTGACCAGTAAATTGAGAGCTTCGCCTTTCAGCTCAGCTTCTTCTTCACCACAACGGACAGGTACATCGACTGCATTACTGCAGAAGCTGCACCCATCCGCCTGTCAATCTCCCGTTCCGTCCTTCCCTCACTCGTGAACAAGACCCCAAGATACTTGTGCCTCCACAACCACCCAGGCTGCAGTCCGCTTAGCCTGCCTGTACCCATCAGCTGCCTCAGGAGTCCTACGAGCCAACCAAGCTCAAAAGGACTCCTTCTTCAGCTTTTTGTCCTAAGCCATATTTGTGGAAATGAATGAATATAATTTGGTCAAGTGCTTTTTACAGTGGAGATGTGAATAAGTAGTACAGAGGGTGATGGGTTGGAGTTAGGAGGAAAGAAGATGGTTTACATCAGAGCTAAAGACCTAGTTTAATATTAAATGCCTCAACCAGGGCAGTATTACATTCATCTCCTGCTGCAATGAAACCTTTGCCAAGGGGTTAATGTAATAATTGAATATCATTGTCAGTTACAGGGCTTAAAGAGTGAAAGCCATCTTTCACCAAAGGAGATTCATCATAAAAATGTCACATATCATCTTCAACAGCATCATCAAAATATGAATCAGTTTGAGTTTTTTAGTTTTCCAGATTAAATGAAACACTTCATTGAATAGATTAGACACAGACTTACCCACAACTGTTTATGCATTAAGGTAGCTACCTTTATCCATTCACCGACTGTTCTGACTTCTCTGCTCACCTACTATGGTTTGTTCACTCTCATTTACATCACATTTTGTTAAGGTGTTACAACTGAGTGGAGAATGCATCAAAACAGGCCAACAGTAACCCAGTACAATTGTTTGTGTGGCTGAGAATGTGTCTGAAAATGTCCTGTCACACAGGCAGAATACCGTTTGAAAGAAGAGTGCCAGCGTGCCTTGACTCCCACAGTGGAGCTGCCCGGAGGCTTGCACCCACACAGTTGTACCCAAGGTGGAGATGTTTAGGGAGGGAACAGATGAACTCCACACTCTTAACTCTGGAGAACCTGATTCATACAGACACTGAACAAACACACACACAAAATACAAAATAGTGTTTCATCAGACAAAGGTGTCCAGTATATGTGGTGATATGAAGAGTTTCATTATTACCTTTCTAATAGATTCAGGCATGGCACTGGAAAGACTGGTCTTGAAAAGTTCCTAAAATCACATTTATTATACAGTATAAAACCCAACAAGAGATTACACAAAAATATACAGGCACATCGCATAGTTTATCATTGCAATCATTTTCCAGCGCCATGTGTGTGCCCTCCATGTGTGATACACGCCAAGCTGAAGGTGATGTACTTACAGTTAGCTCTGATCCAAAGATGTTGAGGTGGAAGCAGCCATCATGGTGGGCAGCAGTAAGCATGGGGTTAAAGACCTGATCTGGAGTTAAAAACACAAAGTATTGCCAGGCCAGGCAAGATTTAAGATATCACTGCATCTCTAAATCAGAAAGAGACAAAAGACTTTTGATAACTGAGACAGTGAACTACTTTAGTCTGCTACATCATACTGAAAATAAGAGAAGTTACTTATGTCATTCATTCATTTATATTTAAGGTTTCATATATATTAGTACTGGACAGCTCTGCAAAACCTGGCATTACATTAAATAATAATGTTCTTGTTTTCCAAATATAGCTGCGCATGTCAAGTACAGTACAGATAATGCCAGAGGAAGACTGTGGTGTGGCATATGCTAGGCAACAGCAACACTAGTTAGGACTAGGGAGAGATCATGGATATGGCAAATAAAATGTTAGTTGCAAGCCTGTCACAAGACACATTAAAGTCCCACTCACTACACACCCATCCACCACCATACCCTTTCCACCTGGCTACATCCTGTGCTGCCACTGGACTTAAATCATGAGGTGCAGAAGCACCCACATGGGTGTAGGTTCATGGATACCAGACCGAAGTAGACTGTATCAGCATCAAAATGGTAGGAGATTATTTTAATGCAGCTGATCAGTATTTTATTGTTACAAGCATCACACACAGATCTCTAGTCCTAAAACCAACAATAGTATTTGAACATGCCACATTATAGAAGTGTTTCTTTTCAAATGTACCTTCACTTCCAAACATTATAAGAACATGCAGAGCCACTGCTGACCTGACAACCAAAAGTAAATCATCTTGCGTTCAGTCAGATGACTGGGGTGGAAAACAGAGTCACTGATGACAGAAGAAGTGCTGTGGTAGTTGGTCTGCCCCTGGAAAAAACAGTCAATGGATAAAGAGGGAGACAAAGAGATTCATATCCACATGTCCACTCACATGTATTGAACTGTGAGCACTAAAATTGCCTGATTCTCTTTGGTTTAAACTGCTGTACAAAGGTTGATGGTGTGGATAAGGCTGCAGAACAAGGTGGAACCTTATTGGAGTTGATGTGTTTCAGCCTAGCCTCCCCAGTGGCTCATAAACTAACTGTATTCCCAATATTTGATCATGTTTAACCCCCTTAAATGTGGGGTTGGCAATTCTTAATAGAAGCATTTTTGTTTTTTTATCTTGAAATTCTCTTTTCATCCTTATGGCAATGAAAACATTAAACACAGTACATTGACAACAGAAAGAAACAGATCCATCATCTGTAGCAGCAGCAGGGCTGAAAAATGTCTGATTGATAATTTTACTCATCCCAAATAGAAGGATGGCCTATCTGCCTGTCAACCTACTTGTGCACACTCTTCCTGTGCCAAGAGCCTCCCACAAGGTATTGCAGTTGTAGGCAGATACAGATAAGACCACCGCCCGGAACAGATTCCTTTTACATGCAGCCAGACAGCAGGCAGCTTTAAGTGTATAGATGGGATTGTAAGGCAGTTAAATGGTCACCACAAGCCACATGCAGTGTTCATGTTACCAAGGTGGAATAAAGCCTGTGTTTTGAATGGAGTTAGCTGGCCTCTGTAGGGTATGGTTCTTGTTACCATGCTAACTCTGAGAGACGAGGTAGTCCAAGTAACTTCAAAACAGTGCTGATTTATTCAAAGGATCACAGGTAAAATTAACATTACACGCTCAAGTGTCTTGCACCTCCAACATGCTCGCAGGCAGATGTAAGATGTGTTGGTTAAGTGGTGTGTAGCTGAAAACATTCTCACGTTCTCTAGTACATGTCGTGACTTGGGCATATGAACATTATGGCTGAAGCTATAGTTACACACATCATAATAATAATAATATTAAACACCCTGTCTGCTGACAGTCATCAACTCTTCTCTCTAGTTGTCCTTGACCAGATGTACCCTGCAGAAACTCATATGCAGGTCTAAGCATTTAACAGTCTAACTAGACATCCTATCTCCACTAACATTTCTAATACATAAAGTATCTATCCAATATCTATCTGACTAAAAATATCTAACAGTATAAAGAAAACAATGTTCAGAGAGGTTTTAGTTGAAAAGAAAACCCGAAACTATAAAAGTGAAGGGGTCAAAGATAGATGTATGAAAAGTGAGGCAGACACGTCCCAGATACTAACTATCTCTCATCTCACTTTAAATGTCCTCCCAGCTGTTTTCTGTTGCTTCTCTGATCTCTGTCGATTTCCTCTGTCAGACTGTGGTGAAGGGAAAGTCTCAGCAGACACATCAGACTGTTACCTGAACTTTCACAAGCTCTATCTGCATCTGCAGGGCGACAGACAGTAAGTTACTGATGGCATCGACAACAAATAGAAGCTACTGCATTACACAGTCACAATGCCTGACCCTGTTAATGTGCATTTGTTATTGCCAATTAGACCAAACTGGCTGAAGAAGCTCTTCACTGACTTCATCACCTTCACTGTCAAACTAGTCATCAAAGGACAGGTGAGGGCGACAGAAACACAATTGATTTTTGACTTTTCACTTCACATCCTGGCATTAAATGCTAAATGAGATCACAACAAACTAGCAGTTAGCACTCATGCCTTTTTATAGTCAGAGTAGACTAAATACTTGCAATACTGCAACAGTGATGAATGTGTTCTCAAATGCAGATTTGTAAAGAGATCAACAAGGCAACAAATATACTGGCTGACTTCATACAAGACACAGCAGGTGTGCGTGCATGTGTGTTTCTGACTGTGTGTGTTTGATAGAGATGAAGTCTGTTCAAATCTTTAAATCTTTGGGCTTGGCATCCATACATTTGAGCATTTGTGCAACTCCATAATATATATAGCAGTTCAAATGTTATCTGGAGTCTCACTGAACGTTAATGTGTGTGTGTGTTTCCAGAGGACTTCCTAAGTGATGGAGACATTACTGTGGATATTAGTGTAACTGCTCAACCTACCATCACTACGAACTACATCGAATCATACCACAAGGTAAATAATATGTGTCACAGTCAAACACACAGTCATATCTTCTTCAAATTTTGTTTGTGAGCACATGCATTGTATTGTGAAAAGACTTTCCTCAGTCCTCCTGTAACGGGTGCATTAGTTGGGCACAAATATGGAGGATTTCAGGATAAGGCTGTTTTCCACTGTTTATTTGCTCCTCAGTCATGTAGAGCAGCACTAAGGCAATTCAGACAAATTGTCTTCTGGCACCATGCTGCACATCAGACCCCTCAGCAATGCAGAGCAGCACTGTGTGGAGAGGGGAGCCATCTTATTTCTAACATATATGGTCACATCAGTTAAGCCATACACAATGTGTACAACTTCACACTTGATTGTGACAGAAAATTTATGAGTTTACCACTGGAAAACATTTTTTTTTCACAATAACAAATGATTAACTCTCTTCTTTACATACAAAAGTAAACCAGAGCCACCTAGTGGGCTAATTACGAGAGGGCACAGAGCTGAGTGACAAATCATAACCAACACAATATCACAGATTAGCAGAAAAACACATACCTGAAGAGCACAATACAGACACATAAATCGTCTTCTGGCACTTTGATGTAGAAACTCGGCCAACATGGCCTCAGTTTGTTGCCATCATTCAAAAGCCACACCAATATTAGTTCTGGTTTTACATCTTGCAGCATCCAACTTATTTTTAGTTGTAACTTTCTTGAATACGATGTTACCTGCCCATCTCTCCAGCCCCAATCCATAGTTGGGGATCTGTGGTTCATGGCTAAACTGCTTTAGCAGTAACTAGCCTTAGAATTCCGGGCTTTTCCAGTGGGGAGAAGTGAAGAGGGAGGTGTTAGATATTTTTAGTCAGATAGATATTGGATAGATACTTCATGTATTAGAAATGTTAGTGGAGATAGGATGTCTAGTTAGACTGTCATCTCAGCTCAAAGTTTCCACAGACTGTAGATAAAATGGCTCAAAGTCAGAGCTGAGCTTCAGTCTGTGCACGGCAGAGAAGAAGATCTGGGGGAAACCAGTCAGCAACTTAATGTGCTTCATTAATGGGCCTGACAACTGGTTTAATACTGAGAGAGTAGTCATTAGACGATGAACGACTGATGAACTATGAGCCTCAGAAAGCAGAAAAAGATCAAATGTTCCAATACTACAAGTTTCATGTTGTGCTCCACTTCTCTCTGACCACAGTTTGTCTGAACCATGTTAACAAAAAGCAGGAGTGTTACTGTGTGAACTGACTGATCCTGATCAGATCCTGTTAAGATGTAACTATCGTCTCCATCCAGCATCATCACTGTCGTCCACCAGCTACTAAACCCCCCAGTGACCCACTCTGCTGTACTGGGGGGCAGGTTTCCTCCTCAGGAAACACATGAGGCTGTTTGTTTCCAACACACAGCTCCAAGAGTTAGTATGGTAACAAGAACCATACTCTACAACGTGGCGCCATGACCCGAGAGCCAGCTGAACTCTGCAAGACAACCGGTCCATTTCCTGAGTAATGGTCTCGGACGACTAACAGCGGTAATCCTGTGCCAGGCTGAGCTGAGTTGGAGATCCGATATGCGGTCCTGAGCTGAATGCTTCCCTGATCAGATAGTGACCTCCTGGTTGCAGTCAGAGCTGTGAGCAGTCCCACACATCAACGGGCCCGTCAGGAAATAGGTAAGCGGAACCTTTGTTATACATAAACTCCGCACATTGAATTTATTCTAAATTAAAGTTGATGTGTGAGCTGTCCACTCTTGACGTTCTGAATTTGTTTCTAAACAGTAAGGCTAAAAAAACTTTTTTTTTTTTTTTTTTGTTTTTGAAGGCTGTGCTGGTTTGTTCTTTGTCACATGTACAGTTAACAGAAGCACATAGTCTCATTTAAGGGGAAGTAAATGAGTGCTGTTGATCACAGAATTTGATGCCAATAAGG